CCAATGAATAAGGAAAAAGAAGAAACCACTTACAGAACAATTATACTTAATAAATACGACTATGAAAATTATATGAATATTGAAAATCAAGGTGAAAATGCAGATGAAACAAATATTATTATAGAAGAAATCAATTATGAAGACAAAGAAAAAACTTTAAATAAAGAAGAAAATAAAAATAAGAATAAAATTAAAAATGAAGACGAGATAAACAATAAAACTGAGAGGAAAAATAAAAAATCGGACGATTCAAAAATCCTTGGAGAGGGAAATTACCAAACCTTTCCTGAACCTTGAAGAGGCTCAAAAATATAATTTAAAATTTAAAAATTCGAATCTACGAAATATAAAAAACAAAAATAAACCGTCTTCAAAAATCCTTACATCCTTGTTAAATAAATCTCAAGAAATTTTAGAGAAATTCATGCGAAAACGCAAAACCAGATATAAAAGAAACCAACAAGTTGAAAATTACAATTTGGATAAATGTCTAACAATCTCCGAAGAAAAAAGGAAGGATCGATTCGCCGAAATCATAGAATCGTTACGATTAGAACATTTAAATGAAGTAGAAAGAAAAAGCATTATAAAATTAATAACGGACAGTCAAGATCGATTTCATATTCCTGGAGAAAAATTAACCGCAACTCACGTATTACAACATCGAATACCTACTACAGATGACCAACCAATAAACACTCGTCAGTATCGATTTCCGCAAATTCATAAAGAGGAAATAAACAAGCAGGTAGAAGAACTGTTAGAAGGAGGAATTGTAAAACACCCACAATCGCCATATAACACGCCTATATGGATTGTACCTAAAAAAGAAGACTCCAAAGGAAATAAACGATGGAGAATGGTATTAGATTTTCACGCTTTAAATGATAAAACTATCGGAGACGCATATCCTTTACCAAATATCGTCGATATATTAGACCAATTAGGAGGAGCTCGATATTTTCCAGTATGCGATTTAGCATCTGGATTTCATCAAATAAAAATGAACCGCGAAGATGGTCATAAAACAGCTTTCACTACTCCTTTTGGACAGTATGAATTTGATCGAATGCCGTTCGGTTTAAAAAATGCTCCGGCTACTTTCCAGCGCCTAATGGACTTAGTATTAACTGGGTTACAAGGCAAAGAATTATTCGTTTATATGGACGATATCGTTATCTATGCAACATCTTTAGAAGAACACGAAAGAAAATACAACGCTTTAATGGAACGTCTTCGAGAAGCTAATTTAAAATTACAGCCAGACAAATGCGAATTTTTAAAAACGGAAGTAACTTATCTGGGACACGTAATCAGTAAAGACGGAGTAAAACCAGATCCGAAAAAATTAGAAGCGGTACAACGATTTCCAAGACCTAAAACACCTAAGAATATTAAACAATTTTTAGGACTTGCAGGATATTACAGACGCTTTATACCGAATTTTTCAAAATTCGCCAAACCATTAACAAATTTATTAAAAAACGACACCCGCTTCGAGTGGACATCTGTGCAAGAAGAATCTTTTGAAATTTTAAAACAAAAACTGTGCGAAGAGCCAGTACTGCAATACCCAGATTTTTCCAAACCTTTCATTTTAACGACCGATGCATCAGGAATAGCCGTTAGAGGAATATTATCACAAGGGGAGATAAATAAAGACCTACCGATAGCATACGCCTCACGAACCTTAACAGATAATGAATTAAAATACGATACATACGAAAAAGAAGCGCTGGCTATTGTATATTGCGTTAAACATTTTCGACCATATTTATATGGCAGGAAATTTACCTTAGTTACAGATCATAAACCTTTGATGTGGTTTAAAAACGCACAAGACGCAAATATGCGAATACTCCATTGGAGATTAAAATTGGCAGAATATGATTATGAGGTTGTATGCAAAGCAGGAAAAACAAACGTAAACGCAGACGCATTATCAAGAAGTCCTGTAAATATCGAAGAAATAGATTGTAAAATTATAAAAAACAAGAAACTTTTAAACCCAGCTAACCTTAAAGATGCACAAGTAATTACCGAATTACTAGAAAAATCCGATAGCGAAGAAGAAGAAGAGGAAGATGACGATTTCCATTTATATCTTTCCGATATCGAAGAAAGCGAAGGAATAATACCTGAAAGCGATTTATTAAATAACAATAACGATACTCTTCCATTTACACAAACAGAATTAAACGAACCAGATTATTTATCAATTACCGAAAAAGCTTTAATACACGATCCTCCTAAACAAAATAAAATTCAAACGAGAAGCCGAACTGCAAGGCAAAGTATTGAGCAAAATAAAATAACCAACGAATTGCATAGTGACGAGGGAGAGATCGAAGAAATCGAAGAAAGAAACGAACCGCCTGATAAAAATTCTGACAGTGAAAAAGAAGACGAAGAAGAAAATGAACAAGATATTATTAACAAAAATTTAAGATCAAGAAAAACGAAACCTGCATTTATCGAAAATAGAATAACTCATGGGAACGTTATAGACTCTCGAGAATTATTATTTTTACGAAAAGATAGTATGGTATATTTTGTCGACACCCAGGGAAGACCTTTAGATTCAGGCTCACAAAAACTTTTCGAACGAAAGGAGCTTCCAAACCTAGGATCTCTTGTTCTAGGAAAGGTCAAGGCCATAAAACATAAAAACCATTATCATGTGGCTTTACCTGTTAGCGAAGAACAGCGAGAAGGCCCTACGGCTACTCTTAATCAAATTGTTAAAATCTTAACAGACTTACGGAAAATAACCGAAGACTTAAAATTAGAAACATTTAGTATTGCAAAAACAGAGTTTATTAATAATGTTCCATGGAATGACGTTGTTTGCGATATTACGTGGACGTGCGAGCGAGGATGCCGCGAAAAACTTGTGACGGCCGACGGATCGGCAAAGCGCGCAAACAGTTAGACGCCGGTGATTCTAGGTCGAACACCCTATGTACGCTAATTAAAGAATATTCACGCAAATGCATACGAATGCAATCGTGATTTACACGCGGCGGATAAACAGCGAGATATCGTCTGTCTCGGAATAACCCCGGTAGTTACACTCAACGGAAGTGGAATAATCTATTTCACGCACGATGTCGAATTTCTCTAATTATGATACTTTGATAGCGTACACGCGTTGATAACTCTAAGCGGAATGCTGCTGAGCTCACCCGTCGGCTCATTTTTATAACGGCCTCTTCTTCGCGAAAGATCCAGAAGATTTTCGAAATTGTCGTATTTCCTCTGATAGTTTTTATGCGACTTATTTGTTACAATTTGATCTCTGGATTCTCCGCGAAGGGCGACGGCGTTTATTTGTCTCGGGCCTTTCCGCTCGATCGCGAAAAGGCCGCCCCCGATTGGGCGCCAGTGCCGTCGGCTCGCAATGACGCGATAGGCGCGTGTCACATGCCGAAGGCTTTGATTCGGACGCGCGCGGCGACGACATGTCGCGCGGCAATTATGAGCCGCCTATAGAGAATTGACGCAATCTCAAACATCCCGCCCGCCTCGCCGAAACTCCGGCGAAATAGGATGCTACTTGTTAGCGCCCCGTCGGCCCCCGCATGGCGCGGCCCTGCGACTGGCTGTGAATGAACGGCGCCGCGAGTTACGCACGATGCTCGCGTATGATCCACGGTGCGTGGTCGATCGGCGACACGTGTGGTCGATCGGCGACACGTGTGGTCGATACGCGAGAATTATGCAGTGCGTGGTGGAGTGCTACAGTGCATCGGAGTGTCCGCCGAGACAAGACGGAAACGAGGCCGAAATGCCGTGGCGTGAGAAAGTGATCGGTGAGTATCTCAACCTAATCGCACAGATTATGTGACTGATTTCCCCAGCGCAGGAGATACAGCGCGTGGCTCATCTAGCATCACCTGAGCTGCGTGACGCCGAATTCCACGCCTGGCTCGTAGGCGCGGGGAGCGAGACGCGGGAGCGCGAGCTGGAATGTCACAGCTGATCGATGATACGAAAGACCACAAAAATGCCAGGTAATATGAGCCGATTCTAAGCGTGAGAATGGTAATTTTTAGATTCGGGATTCGATTCGCACTGTTTCTCGCCACATTGCTTTAGAGAAATGTTGTTTAAGTACCAATATTATCTCGGATACGAATAATTATAAATAATGAAAATCTTGCGATATTTTCACGAATTGAAATTGAATAATTTAAACGATTTTAAAGTCTTTAAAGTCGAATATGCGCCTTAATATTTGATTTACAACGTAATTGCGATCGCGTGCATGAAAATAATCTTTGCTGTTTCTAAACATACAGAATTATGCATTGATTGCGATATAGGCGAACGTATGCCAAAGATTGGTATTGTTTTATCGCGATTTCCTTGAGCGCGCGTCACTCGCCGGAGAAAAAGAAAAGGAAAAGAGAGTGACAAAGAGAGATCGATCTGATTGACGGAGCTGAGTTTAAATTTTAATTTTCCTTTTCTCTTTTTACAGCCGGACTCGTCACACGCGGTGCGTGTGCTCGTTTTCCTGCTCATCGGAGCGGCTTTCCGGCAGGAGGACGATCTTAGCGTTCGGGCGCGTCAGCTCAGATGCTGCGGTGCGGATGGTGACCACGCGGATCCGCCCGTTGGCTCCCGGATGCACGCTGGTGATCCGGGCGAGAGGCCATCGTGTTGGCGGCACGTTGTCGCTTCGGATGAGGCAGAGTCGCCCGACGCGCACCTCGTCGTTGGTGGCCCACCATTTAGGCAGTTGGAGCAGCGAGTGGAGGTACTCCTGGGACCATTTGTCCCAGAAGTGGTCGCGCATCCCCTGGAGCAGTTGCCAGCGAGAGAGGCGGCCGATCAGCACGTCCAGGAAACTGGCCTCTGGAATCGTGTTGAGCGCCGATCCCACGAGGAAGTGCCCCGGAGTTAAGACCGCCAGGTCGTCCAGATCATCAGACATCGCTTGCAGCGGCCTGGAGTTCATGCAGGCCTCGATCTGCGCGAGGAGAATGATCATCTCTTCAAAGGTGAGCGTCGATTCTCCGAGCGTCGACTCTCCTGAGGTGATGTTTGCACGACTTCACCGCCGCTTCCCAAAGACCGCCGAAATGGGGTGCTGACGGTGGATTGAAGCACCACTTTATCTGTTCGTTGGCCATCTGGTCGGCGATCTTCCGCTGCTCCGGACTGCTGGCGGTGAAGTACGTTCGAAGTTGAGTGTCGACCCCGACGAAGTTCGTGCCGCAGTCACTATGCAGGCTGCGACAAAGCCCTCGCCGAGCTGTAAATCGCCGCAGGGCGGCCAAGAACGCATCCGCCGAGTAGTCCGACACGACCTCCAGTTGCACGGCCTTCATGCTGAGACACACGAAGACCGCGATGAAGGCCTTGTGCGCGCGATGTCCGTGCCCCTTTGTCGTGCGCAGCTGGATGGGGCCGGCGTAATCGACGCCGGTGCACAGGAATGGTCTCGCAGGCGTGACGCGAAGACGTGGCAGGTCCCCCATGATCTGCTGCTGCGTGGCCGCCCGCCATCGGACGCAAGTGACGCAACGTTGGATCACCTCCTTGATCAGCTGCCGCCCTCGGGGTATCCAGTAATGTTGCCTGTAGGGCCCAAGGGTGAGCCGCCTGAAGTGCGACGAGCTTGGCAGGATTAGCGGATGTCGCTCGTCGTAGGCCAGGAGGGCATGTTTGAGACGTCCACCAACCCTGAGGATTCCTTGAGGATCTAAAAACGGGGTAAGCTTAATCAGTGGGTTGCTCTTGGATAGCGGGGCTCCCCGCGCGAGCGTTTTTAATTCCTCGTTGTATGTCTCAGCCTGCACCACCCGGATCCACGTCAGCCGAGCGTCATCATACTCCGCGGCCGACAGGGTGTCCTTGGTCGGGGGCTGCTCTGTGGCGGGGGGTGCCCGCGGAGCCGCTACTGGGCGACTCCATCGCCTGCACCAAGCGGTCACCCGCAGCAGACGATTCAGGGAGGAGAAACGCGTCAGCTCCTCTGGCTCGGTCGCCTCCGCCGGTGGCGCAGTGGCAGCGAGCGCTCTAACGCGCTCCTCCGGCAGCTCGCCGGCGAGCTCCTCGTCACGAGAGTCTGGCCACGATGCTCTGTCCTCCATCAGCCAGGGTAGACCCTTCCACCAGAGCGGGTGCGTGACCAGCTCGCTCGGGGAGATTCCTTGCGACGCGCAGTCGGCGGGGTTCTCCGTCCCCGGGAGATGATGCCACTGGGCTCCTGGCAATGTTGTCTGGATCTCGGTGACCCGGTTGGCGACGTACACCTTCCAGCGTGACGGATGGCCGCGGATCCAGCACAATGCAACAGTTGAGTCGGACCACAGGTGAATGGGCGCGTTCCCGGCCTCGAGAACCCGCTGAACGTGAGCCGCCAGTTTGGTGAAAAGAGAGGCCGCGCAGACCTCCAAGCGAGGTAGAGTCACCGTCTTCAACGGCGCTACCTTGGTCTTTGCTGAAACCAACGAGATGTATTTTTGTCCATTGCAGGTCTCCGTCCGCGCATAGATGACGGCGGTGTAGGCCCGCTCGGACGCGTCCGCGAAGCCATGCAGCTCGATTCGCGCGTGTGCTGCGCTGAGGAGTATGTGCCGCGGGACGCGGATCTCCTCCAAGCTCGGGAAATCGTCGTGGAACTTGCTCCACAGTTGCGTGTCGGCATCGGCCAATGGAGTGTCCCAGTCCAGGCCTCGCAATCACGTGGACTGGAACCGGATCTTCGCCCAGATCACGGTCGGCGCCAGCCAGCCCAGCGGGTCAAACAGGCGGGCCGTCAGCGAGAGGACGGACCGCTTCGTGAATGCTGACACTGCGATGGACCTGGTGGAGAACGAGAAGCAGTCGATGCTCGGGTGCCACTGGAGGCCGAGAGTAGCGTGACTCTCCTATGGAGTCCAGGACAGCATGTCGCGCTGGGTCCGGTGCTCCGGCGGAATGTAGTCTAGTAGGCGGGGGTCGTTCACCGACCACTTCCTCAGCGGAAACCCGCCCGCCGTGCACAACTCCGTCAACTGCCGCTGGAGGTCCATGGCTTCCTCGATGGTGGGTGTGCCCGTGAGGATATCATCCACGTAGACGTCCCGGCGCAGAGCCGCTGATCCCTTGGGGAAGTGGGCCGCTTCATCGTCGGCGAGTTGTCTCAGGGTGCGCATCGCCAGGAACGGAGCACATGCCATGCCGTAAGTGACTGTGTCCAGTTCATATTCCTGCGGAGCTGCCTTGTCGCTGTGACGCCAGAGGATCTTTTGTAGGTGACGATCCTCGGGGGCGACGAGTATCTGGCGATACATCTTTTCGATGTCGCTCGCCAGCACGAATCGATGCACTCGTCACCGCAACAGCACGTTGTCCAAGGCGGACAAGAGGTTCGGCCCCACTTTGACGTGTCGGTTGAGGCTCGCGCCGGACGCCACGGTCGACGAGCCGTTGAATACGACCCGTATCTTGGCCGAAGAACTTGCCCGACGCATCACGCCGTGGTGAGACAGGAAGCACTCGGAGGTCGTTGCTGCATCGGAACGTGCAAGAAACATGTGGCCCAAGACCTCGTACTCTCGCATGAAGTCGGAGTACAGACGTCGCAGCTGGTCGTCGCGGGCGAACCTTCGCTCCATTTGCCCGAGCAGGCGGGCGGCGGTGAGCTTCGTCCCCGTGAGGTCCGGCAGAGGCGGCGTGAGCGGAAGTCGGACCACGAAGCGGCCGTTGCGTCCGAACGAAGTGATCCTCGGCTTCCCTCTTGTCGATGGTGAGTGGCGCAGCGGTGGCGTCCACTTCTTCCTGCCGCCAGAACGTCTGCACCAGGGTGTGGAGGTCGCCGTCTCCGCTGCAATGCTATGTACGGGCGGACCGCGCGGCCATGACGCCGACGGCGCCCGAGAGAATCCAACCCAGCGTTGTCTTCTGTGCCACAGGTTGGTGGCGTCCTCCGCGGCGTAAACCCGTAAAACATCCTGAAGGATGTCGGCGCAGACGTCGGCGCCAAGGAGAAACTCCACTGGATCGGCCGCGAAGAAGTCCGGGTCGGCGAGCTCCAAGTTGTCGAGGTGGCGCCATGACTGCCGATCCGCATGGAGGCCGCCGTTGTGCATCGTCACTCGGTCCAAGAGGAAT